GTGGGTGGTGTTGCCACAATTGTTCCCGCCCCCATCACTACAGATTCATGAAATTTTACAGGAAGACTTTAGACTCTATGCTTCAACATATAGGGAAGCGGTGTACCGTTAAATTCTGTTGACACAGGTTGTTGCTGGTTCGATCCCCTCCGCGTCATGTGTGCTTCCTGCGCGAATCATCTCGAAAGAGAGGGAATTTGCATGCCGATGTATCGCTTGATTAACCCACCCGTAGAGTGGAATACAATGGAAGGGAGGGGAAAGCTCACACATATTTTTTTCTTTTCTCCTCCTTCACACCAATCCGCGCATAACCGCTTTCTTTCATAACCCGGCACGTTATGCCCGCTCGACCTGTAACCCCCCCACGTTATCCCATGTAATAACCCCTCGTTGGCCGGAGGTTACATTACGCCCCCGTACAACCGTGCCCACTGGCCACCTGTGTGTAGACTATGCGTTCATGTCGTTTGCATTGTGCCGAAGCGTATCCTGGGCTCTTATATTTACTACATATCTGGGTTGGAGACGAGTTTGTTGTGTTTTGTCCAGCCGGAAAAAGAAATTCAAGTAGTGTCCACTGAAGTCCAGCTATCCCGGACCGTCAAACCGACACAATCTACAGCCAGGAGGTCTGGCCTTCGGTTGTGACTGCCTCCCAACCTGTATCATCTGTGCTTTCACAACCAGGAGGTCTGACCTAAGGTTGCGGTTGCCCCCCCCACCCTGTGGGATCGGTGCTTGCACAACCAAGAGGTAGGTGTGGCCTAATGTTGTGGCTGCCTCCCAACCTTCCGCATTTGCGCTTGTACAACCAAGACATCTGGCCAAGGTTGAGGCCTCTTCCCAAGCCCCCTCTATAACCTGCCCCTACCTTGTGGATGCTCACAACCTACCCACAACCTCCCCTCTGGCCACCCGTACCGTTCTCTAGGGTTGAAGTTGACACGTTGGCTCCAGAGGAGATTCGCTCTCTTCTTCGTTGACAACACGATCTTGCTATTGAATTCTGGTGGTGTGGATGACATCATCAAGAATGAAGCAGGCGTGCATGATGATCTTCGTATCGCAAGGACCCATTGTGTCATATGGGTTGACCAAACCCTCGGGTGTTTACCAACTTGCACAACTTCAACTTGCACAACTTCATATATATAGACTATGTAGTCAAACAATAACACGATACTACAGTAGGTTGTCGATGTGATTTTTTTTTGTGTTGAGTACACAGTAGGTGCGATTTGTTGTCCGATAGGTTTCTTTGCTCCCGAGAACGCCAAACAGCGGCAGGAAAGCTGCAACCTTTCGGGATCAAATGTGTGAGTGGTGCCCGCCAACCATCATTATTACATTGTTGGCAATAGCGTCAAAACATTGAAAAGCGAGCGTGATCGTGAATTACTTTTCCCCTGTATCCATGGCTTATAGAACAGGTCACGACATGACCCGATCCATTTGACTTTCACCTATCAGCACAGGTCGTGGAGTTGACCTGATCTGACTTTCCACACGAACGGATACTTGAACATGTAAAAGCATGGTTCGCGCAGGCCAACACCCCTCGAATATACATAGTCAATATATATGGCCGGAAAAGGTCGTTTTCAAACGCCAGCGCGAGGCTGCACACAACACGGCGCACTACTGCTGGTTTCACATGTCAATCCCTGAAGACCTCGGTGGCGACTTTCGCGTTGATTATCTTCTCTACGAGCAATGCTGGCGCTGTTGCCTTTCTCTCTTTAGTGGGCTTAACAAAATGGGGGGGTGCGGTGCCAACTGCTGGGACAAGCAGTTAACGGATTAAAGACAACGTATTTTGACGCTGGCTCCATTAATGTTCTCAAATCCAATATGAACAAGGAAGGCAACCTCCCCGCCGCAAAGGTTGTGTGCACTCTACTGTTAGAAGGAGAGGATACAACAAAAAGGCGTCCTGTGTGCTGACACGTTCAGGTTTGCTACTGGAACTGAAATACCGAAGGTCGCAGCAGCCTCTGACACAGTCCAAAATCTGCGCCGGAACTCGCCGGAACCACACACTCTTAACCGCCGTGCTCACCGCCACGGATCGTGAACCCGTGAACGGTCGTCCGCAGTAGCTAGTGGCATCGGCTACTGCATTCAACCCGCTGTTCAGGAGAACGGGGCCAGTGGCGGCGAGCCCAAGCAATACAACATGGAGGGTATCGGTCTAATTTGGGGAGATTTGCAGAGATATCAGGCCACTACCACGACCCTCGATATCACCACAACCCGAGAAGCAGAGCGTGCCCACACACACACCACGCTGCCATAGGATGTCATCTAGGGGCATCATCAGTAGGACCTAGTGCAATACTGACCTTGTCTGAGCGCCTGTCGTTTTCGCTCTTTTGACTTGAATTGATACTCGCGAGAATTTCTATCTTGATTTCAAAGGAGGCGTGCGGAGGTATGCGCGTGAAATGTTTGTTTAGAGCAGCCTCTACTGCCGCCCTGTGCGAGAATCAACCATTTTTATTTTTCGCGTTGCCTTCCGACTGGCCTTGTGAGTCTCATTGTGCCTTTTCTGGTACCTTTGCGTTTGTTTTCAAAATTTGTCAACATCAAACCTCCATGTCTCCCATCCCTACTCATCCCGTGACAACATTCCTCCAGAACTTGAAGCTCTAGCCAGAACCTGCCATTTGTTCCCTAGAACTACCGTTCAGGTTGTTGAACTCAAATCCCGCAACAGCACGCACACAGATGGCGCCCGCACACAAGAACCTCTAGTTTTGGCCGAGGCTGGGGTTCTTGTTTTGCTGATTATCCTCTTGTGGGCTACAAATGGCCGCTATATAGGTTTTTGTGTGGGGTTCTTAGCCGAGCTCACAAATGGTGCTCAAGTTCTTAGCTTCTGATTTTTTGCGGGTCTCAATTTCGTAACTGCTAAGTTCTCAAGTGCGGGCGCCATCTGTAGCCTGTGGACCCTCTCCTTTAACAATGATCGGCACCACGTACAGCTCACATCATGGACTATTGCTTCTGGGGTCTCCTCAATAGGTTGGCAAGACTTGTTTCCTCCACGGACTCCTACGTTTTGTGAACTCGGGGCTGCGGCGATGATCAGGAAGAGCAAGACCCGTGAGGCCCGCAAGCGACCTCCCGCGCTACGAAGGTATAAATGACCAAACGTGATGCGAAATACTGGAGCAACCCACCAACGACTGGCGACCCATCCGCGAACCACCTTATTCATGTGATACCTGCGGCATTCGGAATCTTTGGACCCTTGGAAGCGCCGTTGAGTAGTGTCGGTTGCGCACCTTGGAGCTGTTGTGGCTTGTTGGATGGTAGTTCCGCACCGTTTGGTGTCGTTTTCTACAGTAGGTCTACAGGCCCTGAGGCGTTGGGATAGAGGTTGTAGAACGCATGGTTGGCTGTGGGACGACGGTTGTTTCTCTCTAGAAGCCAATGTGGAATCACGACGCCTCCGCAAGCGTGTTCCTGTTTCCAGGGGGGCCATCCCTTGAGGAAGGAGTGGTCCTATTCAGGGCTCCCATACTTACGTATTCGACCTGGTGTGCATGGTTCGAGTATGGTCGCACATGCGATGACAGCCATGTGTCACAGCACCGGAGACTCCCGAATCGTCGGCAATTCGGGGCATAGACACTTTTGGGTGCGCCCGTGGAACGCACACTCCCGCCTTGGTGCGGCAGGAGACGAGTGGTTTTGGAACTGTCAAGGGCATGACCCTTGTCATGTGACTGTCGTTTACGTTGCTCGGTAATTCTTGCCTGCTTCACGCACACAAACATGCAGTGACCGCTGACTCTGCCCTGTGTTACTCGTTTCATGTGATATTGCCCTACTCCCACTTGTTTGTTACCATTTTACGCCACTGCGGTAGGTCCCACCTCCTGGTGGCGACCGTGATGTCAGCCACGACCGTGAAGATCGTGGAAAGCAACAGTGAGTGGCGAACACTCCTGTTGTCGGCGGTGTTGCGTGCTGGGGGGGGTCTGCCCACGGCGTCGAACTTGGAAACGCTGTGTCCATCCTGCTCATGACCCCGCGATAGCCTACCGGAAATACCGCATGATACATGATATCGAGTGCAGCTACAGCTTCAAGTGCGGTGGATGTACCTGTCGGGGGGTATTCGCTAGTCCTAGTTCATGGCGCGTCAGCTCAAATGCCCGGGACTCCTAGCGTGTGTCTTGTGGGCTAGCGGAGGGGTGTCATGCGCAAATGGGTTTTCGATTCCTCCCCCGCACCCGCGACTTTGCTTCTGGTGCATGCCGAGCAGGGCTGGTTGAGTTTCCGTCGGTTTTCAGATGCATGTGGAACGACCTGCCGCACCCGGCTCAGTTCGCGATCATATTTCTGGTGAGTGAGGGCACTGCTGACCATACCCTCCACGCTGCAACGTGAGGTGGTTGGGGTAAAAAATTCTGTGTACGCAAGTAGTTATATTCTACGGCGTTGCTTAGGCTTGCGCTACTGCCGCTGTGTGCCTCCAGTACAAAACCAAATGGCAGGATGTTTCGATAGCCGCCAGTCGAACAAGCTCAAGTTGCCGTGTCGTCATCAAGAACCGAGCTCATTTCGATTTCGGCGGCGTGGTGCGTGATGGTACTCCGAATCCCCCCACAGATGCTTGCGCTCCTGTTCGGCGTCCACCGGATTTTCGGTAAGCTTGACGACGCCGCGTACGCTCGACTATCTCGTGCCGTAACTGCTTGGATAAATGAGAGGCGGCATGCACATCAGGGTTAGTCCAAGCACGAGCGATGGTATCGGGGGTTGAACACTACAGCGAGCGCTACTTTGAGACTTCAAGAGAGTTAGAATTCGATAGATACCAATCTGTCTTTGCTGCGGCGGTGAGGCAGTTTTCAGGGTATGGTTTCCATGGGTTCGATTCGGTACTGTAGGACTCTTCCGTACTGATTGCTGCGAGTGTGCGCGGTACATCGGATGCGGCACTTTGCATAGCAAGAGAGGTTGCATGGGGAGGCGGTCAATACATGTACATACACTTAAGAAGGTCAGTCACCGGTCTTTCTTTTGTGTTTGGGTTTTTCCAGCATGCCCCCCTGTAGTAGTCATGAGCTGTGCACCATAGCCTCTTCAAGAGTTCCAGTGCAAGCTTGACGGGGCTCAAAGACAGCAGGAAACGGTCCCCAAGGTGAATGTATTATGTTTTTGCGTTCCATTTGAACGAAGGTGGCGTCTTTCCAGGGCAAAATTGGCAAGGTCATAGCTAGGATAGCCGCGCGGGTTTTACGGGTGTTTGGTGCCGTAAATAATGTTCTCCTCCTTACGTTTCGGCTTCGGTGGGGCAGACTCGCAACATCGTTTGCTGCTACCCGCTGGTTTCTTGAATTTCACGGGGTTGGGTTCGGTGAGGGATATGAAACCATGTGTATCATGCGCTACAAGTAACGTATTGAATCCGCTTCACGCGTGATTCTCTTGCCCGGCGTTAAATTCCACACCCTTTTCGGTCTAATCGACGGGGGGTGGTGAGAGAGTAGCACGCTCGCATTCCACGTTCTTCGCTTCCAGTGAAGGTGGCAATGGCGCTCCGCGCTGCTTGTCTACCCGGGGCGGGCAAGGGGAAGCGAATGTCACTTACATGCACAAAGTATGTGCTACTGTAGTATTGGATCACCATCCGAACTCAGGGCTGTGCGATTGCCTCGCTTTCAACAAAGGTGGGAACGGTCCTCCGTTCCGCATATCTCACCGGGGCGGGAAAGGGGAAGGTTAGAATAAGAATGCCACCATATAGTGTGCTGACGGATCACTATCCGGACACAAGGCTGTGCTCCCACAGTTGTCCGTATAGTTAACGTGACCTTCCTTACGCCCTTCCGGCGCGGTTCTTGGAAAACCCCCGTCTGTGAAGACCCAGATCGATTGATTTCTCGCCCTCGTTAGCCGGTTCCTCGTCCGCCATACCCCCTCCAGTCTTTGCTCTAACGCTATCTGGTTGTTCTTTTGGGTATTTACTTGCTCCAACCAAGGGTGCACAAGAGACTGGCTAGGGCCTGGTATACACGCAAAATATTTGCACTGACTGGTATATATGAGAGGACCAACTGCATGGTAAAAACACAACAGATTTTGCGGTGCTTCTCCTACACAATGATTCCAACACGATCATGTCCTCACCGAGAATTTTCTTCGTGATGAGCATGCACACGTGTGTAGCCTGGCCCATCGACTATTTTGTCCTCCACGAAACCCCACAAAAAAAGACCGAAGTACCGATTGGTACAAGTGTTTCGCACAAATTGACGACACAACAAGCTTCGGAGAATCAAGTGGAGCCCGAACGATTTGGACGCAGATTCTAGGAAAGAAACGAAGTCCTTGATTGTGACCTACACACTTTGCATCCGGAAACCTCGGCGGTTGATGTTCCTGAGGGGGTAAACCTGTTGAAAGATAGGACAAAATGCTACATACCCCGATCAGAGGCTACCGAAGTGGGCGGTGAAATCTGCGGTTCATCAATAGTAGTGGCATTCTGTCCACACTTCCGTCACATGGAAACACTTCATATTCTAGGGCGTTCACAGGGAGCGACGTCTTTTCTTGGGTGGATTTTTCAATACTTGCTGCCGACGGGCTGCTTCCACCGATTCCAACGTGACGCCTGACCCCGAAAGACAGCCAAGACCGACCAGTCAGCGGTAACCCAACACCCCACTTCCTCTACGCTCGTTACTCGGGCTTCGGCTCCCCTATCTACGCGATTATTTTTTTGGTCAAGTGCGCTGCTGCTTGGCCCCTTGTAACCTTTGCAAGCCAACACGAATGCATCCTCATCGAACACGTTTACCTGGCACGTCGGGAAGAATAAGCCGGCAACCCAGCTCGTGTCTCGGGCATCTCCCCCCTGGCGCAACCTAGCGTTTCTCGGTTATTATTCCAGTGCCGGTTCGTGGAAGGAATCTCTATCGTCGCCGTAGTCGTCGTTGCATCTGGCCGCAGACGAGACGCCGACGGTGTGGTGTTTGCCCTCTCTCGTTCTCTCTCTCTCGCCGAAGCCGAGGACGCTCGCAAGCCGTCGGCGACGGGGATGGAAGAGGTTACGTGTGGCAAAATGGGAGTGGAACTCAACGTTTCGGGAAGGCTACACACGGCTACTGATCGAATCGGAGAGGGGGGCGAGGTTCGGATAGAGTGGAGGCGGGGGTGATCCGGAGACTGCTGAGGCAACCATTCCCGACGATTTTCGCTTTTGCAGCGTTTTCCGGCTCCCCCTAGAGATACTTGCTGGGCCACGCGCGCCAGGACTTCTCTCCAGACGCCGTGGCAGACCATGCCACGGGCCCCCCTCGACGCCAGCGTTTCCCGACACAGGCAGGGTGACACAAGGGCCTGGCGTGCCCTAACTCTCGCCTCCCGCTTGCTTGTCTCTGGCAGCAGGAACTTGCTACAAGCGAAACCTTGCGCTTCCCCAAAGCTGGCGGGGTGCGACACAAGCACAGGCAAGGGAAAAAGAAGAGTCGCCTCCAATGGTCAGTTCGCGGGCTTGGACGTCCGCACCAACCACTGAAAACGAGAACGTCCGATCGTGAAAAATCGTCATTGCTACCGGGGGGAGTAATCCAAGGGAACACGAGCTACTGAGACTCCTGTCGCGGTGCAACTAAATGCATGCACAGGAGATGAGGGACTAAGCCAGAGAACTACTGTTTCCGTTGAGCTACGGCTCAACCGTAGGGTAGGACGGGAAGGATACGCCGACCCCGATAGAAACCCGCTTCACTGTACTTCTGACGGGACCTCGCTTGCTATGAGCGGGTCGAAGATTTGATCTGTCGATATGGTGTCGTCCATATAGCTGATTAGTTCCGATCAAGGACCACGCAGACAACGACGAGAGGTGTATTTCTCCGGAACAACTAAGCGAACAAGTCGAAAACGACCAAGGTTAACGACTAAACCCGCACCGTCAATCCGCCGCCGTATTATATGATACCCGCAGAACAGATATGCCCAAACCTACGAACAAAAACGACATCAAACTGAAACAAGTAGCAAATGTCACCTCGCGTAGGTCCACAGCGATGTGAGCAGTCGCTACGTGAAGTTGGTCTCCTATGTCTCCATGGTAGCCAATATTGCCCGATGCGTGCGCCTCGCCTGGCAATATATGCACCCACCATTGCGCAATGTTCAGATCCATCGGCAAGCAATTGTGCCGTTGGGAAGACGGCATCATGAGGTTTGGACGTCGTCTGATAGTACCAATCGATGTGCGATACGGCCGCGCTGATACGGTATTATTTCGCTCGTCGCTCCTGCCACCGGTTGTCCACACGTTCGGCGAACTTCTCGCCCTGTTCCGATTGACGTGCAACGAGAGGAACGAAGTTGATATGTTTTTTTGGTCACAGACATGCGAGCGTGCTTGACCACGGCAATTTGGTGGTTCTCTCAGATACTATGATATGACGTCATGCAAGATTCGGGTTTTATGCCGAGGCAAGTGCAATTCTGTTCAGTGTGCGTGCGACCGGGTTTGATCGTGTGCGCGTGGGATTTGTGTGCGTTGGCTTGGGTTGGAAGACACTGGGAAATCGTCAATGAAGAGGAAAGAATAAAAGCAACAACAACCTGCGGTTGGACAAGATAGGTCCACACAGCTTTCCGGTGATTGATCCCAGTCGCCCACTCGCAGGCCGTAGGGGTTAGATGGACTCCCGACCATCGTACCTTCGGCTACGGCCAACACATCAATCTGCTGACCGGGTGGGAAGGCGGGCTTGTTTGTGGCACTACTGGTTTCGGTTGGGACTGAACTAAACGGGGCAGATGGTGGAATAGATGCACTAGAGGGTGCACGCAGGCCAAAGAAGGCTCACAAGTGTAGAGTGGGGCACGGTGAAGATGATGAATAGTTCGGGGAAGAGGTGTCTTTTATGAAAGTCTCCAATGATCTTCCTCGGTGAGGGAAAATATGGAACGCGGCATAGTTTGCGCGGTCGAACATGAAGTTGGGGAAAGAAAATCCGGATCTACCCGTAAGCGGCGAGTTTCGTGCCGCTTTACTTTGCGCCCGATGGTGTTAGACTGTACCCCATCGTCTCGCCCGCTTTGTTTTTTTGTTATG